TGAACACAAAGCTGGGAGGAGTGGCAGACAACCCAGAGTGCTGTGCAGCCCTTCAGAAGGACCATGACAGCCTTGAGAGACAGACAGAGAAATTGATGCACTTTTGATAGGATGATGGGGAGAGACTTGCTCCACTTCCCTTCTGCCCCAGGGAACTGAATTTTGGAAAGTCTCTCCACAGATGAAGCATGAGAGCAGCCAGGTTCACTGTGAAATGTATCCTCTCATGCTTGAATTCTACAATATCTCAACAGTAAAATTGTTGTTGAACAAATGTTCATGCAATTAATTAGTATTGCAATTGTGATTTTTACCATAAACTGCAGAAGTATAACTTCAATGCCTTTTAATAAGAACAACAAAATAAATTTTTTTTGCAATTAATATCCTGTGTATTCTAGCCTATTTTCACTCACCCAGATCACAGAATCATCAAGGCTGGAAGAAACCTCCAAATTCAACTAGTCCAATCATCAACCCAGCACCACCATAACAACCCCTAAACTGTATCCCCAAGTGTCACACCCAGATGTCTTTGAATATTTCCAGAGATGGTGAACCCACTAACTCCCTGGGCAACTTATTCCTTGCATTTTTTCCCTAATATGTAATCTGAACCTCCCCTCCACAGCTAAAGGCCAGTTGCTCTTATCCTCTCCCTTGAGACATGGAAGAAGAAATCCACCTTCACTTCACTACAATCTCTCAGGTGCTTGCAGAGAGCAGCGAAGTTGTCCCTGAGCCTCCTTTTCTCCAGACTAAACAATCCCAGTTCCTTCAGCCTCTCCTGTAGGACTTGTACCCCAGCCCTTCTCCAGCTCTGTTGCCTTTCCCTGGACTGGCTCCAGCCCCTCCCCATGTTTCTTGCAGTGTGTGGCCCAAAACCAAAGACAGGGTTCAAGCAGCAGCCTCGCCGGTGCTGAGTACAGGGGGACAATCCCTCTCCTAGTCCTGCTGGCCACGCTGTCACTGACACAGGCCAGGATCCCGTGGCCATGGCCACCTGGGCACACAGCTGGCTCCTGCTCAGCCAGCTCACATCCCGCACCCACTGGTGGGGCACCTCCATGCCTGGGTCACTTACCAGCTGTGCCAGGCCATTCTGTACTCTCCAGGACCCTTCTAGATAGCCTCTTCTCTGCTGTGCTGTATTTCCAGTGGACATCTAGCAAGTTGAAGTCCCCCAAAAAAGCAAATATAGGCTCTACAAGGCTAGAAACAGTCTTAGCTATATGGCGGGGAAAAAAGTAAGGACTGCCATGGGTTTGTGTCTCTACAAATAGGGAAGATTATTTGAAATCACTGTTGCCCCTAGTTCATAATAAAAATTTAGATGTTGATGTAAATTTGATTACAGTCCATTCAAGATTTAAGGTTTAAAAATCATGCTGTACATGGCTTCAAATTACAAATCAACCTCACATCTATTTCAGTTAATTGCACAAATATAGAGTACTTGGACTAGGGTTTATAGTATTAAATGACTGCATTAGTATTTTATAATTTATAAGCACATTGTTCATACATAAAATTATTCACTGAGAACACATTATTATATAGTGACCTTTTAGTGCTTCCTACAGAACCTTGTTCACTGAGATTATTGAACTTCAAAGAAATGAGAAGAAATCTGAATCCCCAAGAGAGCCAATAAGAGGAATCTAGCAGAATTATCAAACCACCATGAATACATTGTGTATTGTATATTACTCACACTTACTATTATTGGACACAATCAAGCTCTGCAAGGAACACGTGGAAATTTCCAGTAGCAGCTATTACTGCATTAGACAGTATTTTAGCCATTTCATTCTCCCCCACCAAAAAAAAAAAAAAAAAAAAAAAAAACAAAAAAAAAACCAAAAAAAAAAAAAAAAAAACAAAAAAAAAACCTAAAAACCTATAGTGATATCAAAGCAATGTTTTTCTAGAAGAAAATTCCTAGAAGCAATAAAAATATTTTTTAAAAAATCAAATCCCGAAGAAGTAGCATCATTATAAAAAAAAAAAGAGTGAAAAAGTGTAATGGGGGCTTAGTAGATTGGGTTCTTATTTTCACATAGTATCTTTTTAGATTTCTATTTACTAATTCATCATGATTCAGTATCCAAAATTAAAATATCAGGCATAACCTATTTACTTGTAAAGTTAACTATTCTGAAGACTGAATTCATTTCTTTGCACTCATGTATGTTTAAGAATGAATAAAAGTACCCCAGTAGATTCATTCATATAAGGTTCTGAAAAATCCTTTGAAGTAAATTCAAGGGTAAAAAACCAGATATCTCAATGCTTTGGTTTTCATGACAAAGATTAAAGAAAATAATGCTTTTTACAGAAAGCATAAATATTTCACTATCTGGACTGAACTTTGTGTATAGAAAAAAATTGAAATTCTGTATATAAAACTCTTGTACAAAATACCAGAGAAATTAATTATGGAGACATGTCCCTCAGTCTGCAAGATATTTCAGAGAAAAAATCATTAATTAAGTTCTTAAGCGTCTTTTAGGCTGATGGGTGATGCTTTGCCTTGCTATAAGATCAGTGTTTGTTGTAGAGCCTTAACTTCATTTTCTGAGCAAAGGAATTATTTTTAAAAAATCTTATGGTTATGAGGCTGGATCAAGAGTTTAATTTAAAAAACCCTAGCACCTAGTACAAACCACTTTGTGTGTTATAGATTTTGCTAAAAGGTCAGAAAAGCAAAATTTCTATTTTCAAAAGAATGGCTGCCTTCATTAGGACAGGGCTGTAACTAATTCTGGGTTTCCAGTAATCTTAAGAGAACTGCAGTGTGGTCATGTCCAGCCTGACCTGAGCCAGCAGAAGATATTGAAGATATGTCACTTCTATAGACAGTAAATTGATGGATCACTTCCAAAATTATACTGGCTATTATTGTTATTATTCTGCTTCCTTCTCTGTTCTTTGATTTTTTTCTCCCATTCCTCTACCCCCAGTTTGAGGCACAAATAGTGGAAGACATGATAGCTCAAAATTACAAGCTCTGATTTTAGCTCATGGATGCTCCAAAAACAAAAAGAATGAGGCATTTGAAGATAATTTAATCACATTAGGATGAATCCTTTTGCTTTTTGTTTCTCATAAGGGTATATTGATGTTGGATGGCATATGGGGAAAGACAGCCTCTGAAGAAAAATGTTTCATATTCCTTAGTCTAATAGATACATGAAAGGATATCACAGTGTCCATCACTAAGTGATGGACAGCTTTTTGTCCTGAAGTTTTTTATGCCATGAAGTTAATAAAAAATTGATGCCTTTTCCAGTGGCAAATGTAAATTAAAGTGAATTTGAATGTGTTTCTTATCTAGCTAAAGGAAATCTTCAGAAATTATAATAAAAATACCCTATCCTGGTGATCTTGACATTATAAACACATGACAATGTGTTATGGAGGTCGTACTAGAATTTCTATTAAAAACTATCAGAACCATTAAATATTTGAAAGAATGAAAAAAGATGCTTAGATACTTTACTAAAACTTTACCATTAAACCTACTTTCAATCTTTCAGGTAATTTTTTATTCTAACTGGCGAATACTTTTTTGTGTCTTAAATGTTGGTGCAGTCACTGATGTTAACATATCTATCAAGTCTGACATTTTCTCCTGCAAAGTTTAATGTTCTGGGAATAGAATTGCCTTATTTACTATTAGTTGTGTTGTGTTTAAGAGCGAATGCAAGTTATACATTAGATTTAGCAGCCTGAATGAATCTTCCAGTTATAGCCCTGTATTCCTTTGGCAAAGGCCAGCTATAAAAGAACATAACAAATGAAAGGGACAGTGTTTGTGCTAATGTGCGTTCATCTTACCATCTCTAAAAAGGGTTCCGTGTTTGAGAGAATTTGTAATTGCAATGATCATTGTAGGAAAAACACTGCTGCTGGGTCTGTGCTCACCTTCTGGAAGACAAAGGGCGATGACTGCTATGTGCCATTTCTTGGTGTTTTCTTGTGATTGTATTGGAGGAAAACTTTCAGGTCCAAGTATGTTTGCTTAAGTTAATCAACATAATCACAGCAAATTTGAGGAAACTGCACATGGCTGCAGGCACTGAGAATAAATCCATTTAGTGGTTTCTCGGTTTTAAAGTCTTATACATTTGACAATGTGTCCTTATCAAGGTCTAAAATCAATCATTACTATTCTGTGGGATTTTAAATAACCCCAATTTTATTATATTGAAATCTATCCAATAATTTCAGCATAATGCCTTGGTAAAAATAGAAACTCTTACTAAAAATGATGATCATATGCTTAACAACATTAGTTTTTAACTTTTATTTAATAAAAAAAGCAGTTTTAACATCACATAGCAGGAGCATTTGGAGATCTATGCATGTTGCATTTTCAGAAAGCTGGCAGAATATAAATAATCCACTGGTTCTATGGTCTGTTTCTCATCTGTACTGCTCTTTGTATGTGAAGACAGGGTGAGAATGTTCTTTAAATCATCTCATCCATCATGATACAAGATACCCACATTTCTGGCTTTCAGATCATTTGAACAATACGCACAAACAAAAAAAGGAATAAAAAATGTAGCATGTGTAATTCTCAATTCATAATGACATGTGCTATCTCCTGTGATAAGTATAACTTCAGAAGATACAATGTTTACCACAGCAACAAGTTTCTATTTCAGAACCTGAACAGATATACATTTTATGAGACATTAAGCTTTTAGATGTCTACTTATTCCTCGTATTTACAAATCCCATGCTATTGGGGGACATAGCAGTTCTGTATATCATATATGAAACTTCTGGACAGTTGTTTGAGCTACAGATCTGTGAAAAAAAATTAGTTATTTCCCATACATATTAAAAATACTATAGTATTGCAGGGGATATTGTAATTCTCACCAGCTGGAATTCTGTTTGTTAGCAACATTTTATTTTGGTTCAGATATTACTCTGTAAATTTGAATTAAAATAATTATAATTCAGGTAAAGTATTTTTTTTTGCTATTGTTGTTAATTGTCAGTATTTTTCTTGGTAGATGACTCTGAACTTCAACAGAGCTAAACACTGAAAATAACAGACAGCTCTCCTAGTCAGATAAATCAGAATCACTGCAAGAAGATCTGCATAGAAGGAAAAGGTAAGTTCTTCAGAGTCCTGAAAGCATGTCTGTGTGCCAATATGCCCAAATATTTGATAGAGCCAGGGATCAGACTTGGAGGAAATTTACTTAAGCTTCCATTAAGCTAGAAAAAGTATACAGATAAAAGCTTTGGCTCAGGTCCAGATCATATCTGTATGCAAAAGATGGCTCTGGAATCAGTCACATCTAAGGCGAGTAACTGCTCAAGATCCCCAGTTACTTCTAGTTTTTGTAAGACAAAATTATGAAATCAATCTGAATTTTCATATTAGACACCATAATTCTGCCTACTGACTTTTTGAAAGCTATGATCATACTACTTGTGTAAAACTCCACAGAGTCAGCCAAAGCCATCACTAGGAATATGCTTGTTTAATTAAAGGATGTCATTAATCCAGTGAATAATGTTGGCATAGAGAAGATTTCTGTTGCTTCACAAAGTTAAAATTTACATTTGAAATATGTTTTTAAAGTATTTTAGATAGCATTCAAGTGTGGATTAAAACATATCGAGAGAACCATATCCTAGGTACTTTTTTCATGCAATAAACTACACATAGTATTTACATGCCTGTCAAGCTCCACTTATTTCAAATGATATTAAATGCCAGCCTGCTCTCAAAATTAAATACCCAAAGAAAAGTCAAGTATAAAGTTCCAATGACATCTTTAAAATATTTTTTTGGAAAAACAGATGGGTATCCAAGAATCTTTTCTGAGCCAATAATCTGTAAATTTAGCATTTCATATGTGCGTCCATGAATTAGCCCACAAAAATATCTTAGTAAAGTAGTAAGTTAGTGACTTAAATGCAGTGCAGCTCTCTCCTAATGCTTGCATCTATGATCTAAATGCAGCCATCTTCAAAAGTTAACCAGCATTGGATTGATGATTACAATGGTTGCTTCACTTTTATTCATTTGAGGTCTGGTGGATGATAAAGTTAACATGAGTGAAGAGTTTGCTGCTGCAGCAGAGAAAGGATGCTGAGTAGCACCAATGGGGGCATCCCCAGCAGGCAGAGAGAAATCATTGTGCCACTCTGCTCAGTGCTTATCATGCCACACCTGGAATGCTCTGTTCAATTTTGCTCATCCCCACTATACAAAAAAAGAAGCGTATGGGCTGAAGAGAGTCCACAGAAGAGCTACAAAGATGATCAAATAACTGTAAGGCTGTAAGTAAAGCCTGAGAGGACTGGGTTTGTTCAGCCTTCAGAGAAGAAGCCTTGGGAAGACCTTATCACCATGTTCCTGTATTTAAAGGCTAAAATAAGTCCCTTTATACAAGGAGTCACATGGAAAATATGAGAGGTGATGGGTGCAAGTTACTCCTGGGAAGACTCCAATTGGACAAAAGAATTTTCACAATGAGAACAATCTGGCCTAGAACAATCTCTCCAGGAAAGTCTGGGATTCCCCTGCATTGGACTTTTTTAAGATTCAGCTGCACATGGTGCTGAGATATCTTGCCTAGACTATGGTTTTACTATGTTCTTGCCAATAAAGATGAAACCCCCTTGAAGTCCATTCCAACCTAGTGTCCTATGATTCTGTGAAAATATCTCAGTTAGGAGAGATGATTTGGGAATATGCAGAAGTAAGTAACTGGAAATGTTTGAATTTTTTGCAAGACAAATGATTACTGGATAAGTAATTACTGATCAAGTCAGCTGATTGAGTCAGCTAACCAGTTTTCCCTTTCAAAACAAAAAATTAAGTACAAAATGCTTAAAAAATTACTAGGGAGAACTCTTATGTAATATTCCAAAACTGACCGAAGTGCACAAGCTAGCAACCCAGTGCATGGCAGTAGTGAATCTTTACTGTCATTTTTTAAACTAGGATATTATGAAAGCTGTCTGTAATATTTGACAGTGGTCTATTCTAAGGAGTAAGCAAGCATGTTTCCTGCACTGTGAGTTGCAGTGGAAAGATGGCTGTACATATATAAAAGAAGTACTTTTCAATCTACTTGCTAGTCAAGACACAGAGATGACTTTGATTCTTACTACTCTGTGGGGAACTGGCTGGAACAGAGTCTGCAGTCAATTCAGCTGCATCAACAGCACAGACCCCAGAGAGGACCATCCTCCTGTGCTAGGAATATGCATAATGTAGACTTTCATTTTGTTCATACAGAACTGGTTGTGTAGGCTGGTTACACAGCCAACACACACCATTTGAAGAGTGGGTTTAGTAATGATTTGACAGTAGAGACAACAGGGATAAGAAGCTGCAGCAGATTCAATCATAGCCCTTTTTAATAACTTTAGTTCAGGTTTTCAAAGCCGCATTTAATGTTTAGACTCACATTTGGTACCAATTTAAACTGGAATTGGCCATCTAGCAGCTTGAGGTGGCTTTACAAATATTACCCACCAATTACTATTTTACTCTATCAGCAGCTGGTGCTAAAATGTCCCAGTTGTTATACTAGGCACTAACCTGGGGTTGTTGGGTTAGAAGTAAAATGACAGTACAAGAGAGCATAGAGGAAAAGCATTTTTCCATCTACATGAAGAAAGCAAAATTGAATGGAGGTAGCTGTGATAAAGGCCCCTAAGAGTATCAGAGAAGTTTAAGTTTATATCAAGTTAATTTATGACAGAAGTCTGACTCTGTTACAAAATTGATTTTTTTTAGGTGCATTGTCTTGATAATTCATAGTATAGACAAAGTTGTTGACAAATAATGTTAGAATGCAATGTGATAGAATAGCAGACATATCTACTAGTTAACATAATTAGAAATCTCGGTGACAACTCTCATTCATTAGGGATATATTTTCCTCTTGTTGAACATACATCAGCCACATTGATATTAGCAGGGGTGATTTAAGCTTCCTTAAAACTGAAGATGACATTTAATAACTGTATCATCAATGGATATGTGTTCAGGTAATTCAGCTACTCATTTTTGGAAATCATTGTCTGGAAATTATTTTAGCTTTGCTAAGCAGTCATATTTGCTATAAACTGTGATAGAAAACTGTCCAAAACATATGAAGTGCTCCCTTTTATATATCATTCCATTATAAATACATTACTTTTACGTATGCATTGCTTTGGTTTATCTAATTAATTACACATTTTGATTAAAAATAAAGCTCTTAATTTGAGAGAGGCACAAAAATTTGAAGAATTGCTAAGACAATTTTCAGAAAAATCTCTATAAATTTACATTTGTAGAGGAAAAAAATAAAAGTATTAAATCTTCCTGGTTAATCAATTTATCTGTATGGAATCCTGTCGAAATTCTGTATTTAACTGTCTCTCTATAAAATTGACTACTTCCAGATGACCAAACCGACCAATGTGGTTTTAAAGATCATTTCCTTCATGTTCAGATATATTTACACTTTAGAATATAACCTCACCAAAAACTTGGGGTCTCCTAACAACCAACAAACCAATCAAATAATTTTGGACTTGCTGTGGTCACCTCTTTCTACCTTTGTGGCCCCCAAGTGTACTTGCAGCCTTGTCTTCTCACCTACCAAATGAGTATCAAATAGAATTTCATATTATTCTTTACTTGTCAATTCATCTTTTGTCACCTAGTAGAACTAGCACAGCATCATTTCTCACTGTACTGTAGCACTCAGACAAGGGGTAACCAATTATATTGAGTAATTCTCCTGGTTGGCACTCCTATTTCTCTTTCCTCACTTTTACTCTGTTCCTTGCATCTATCAAGATGAAAACAGAACAACACACATCTCTGCCCTACCTGGAGTATTCCTACACCTTCTACCAAAACTAACCTGCTAAGAGTCAGCAAAGGAAATAAGGTAAGAGATGTCTTCACAGGATAACCTGGTCTGAGCTGCTAAAATGGACCACAGGGACTTGGATTTCTCAGGGACCACGCACCTCAGGTTCAGGAGCAAGAAGAAATCCTATTTCTTTGGGCTTCTTTGAGACTCTCAGTCACATTTGTCAGCAGTACAAACAGCAGGTTGTATTAAGGAATTGTAACAGAAACACAGAGAAAATAAGCAGGACACAACCCACTGATTCTAAATACTGTCCTAAAATGCCAGATATAAGATATTCCAGCAGCTGGGTTAGAACATTTTTCAGCTTAGTTTGTGGAGCACACTTGCATACTTCTGTTGTTCTGCCTGTGTGACATTTCTGCTTTCTGTGCCTGTCTGGGAGAACACAGCACTGAATTTTCTAAAAATCTGATTATTTCCAGCAAAATGTATTGTGAAATATATTTGGACATGAATATGCAAAGTGTTTGGATTTTGCAAAGCTCTAACTATTCAAATTTTTTATTTTGTTTTTTTTTGTGGTAAAGCAGAACATAGAGAGTGTGGAGTTCAAAGAAAAAATGAACCTGTCAGACTTGTTTGAAGAATCACAATCACAAACAAAGAAGAATTCTTTGTTCTCACAAAAATTAGGATATATTTCATAGAAAAGAAAAAATGCAGTTTCTGTGAATGAACATGTTCACAAGAACTTATCTGTACGCAGAAATTAAATGAATGAGCTACCGTCACCTGGACAAAATTGTTACAATTCTAATTAAAATACATTGTATTTTAATGGATTTTCATACTCTGTAAGGATTAAGTAATCAGACTCTATCACATCTTGATGCCAGCTTACTATTTAGTAACAAATACTATTATGAACCCCATGTCTGAGTGCTAATTTAGTGAATCAATATGAATACAGTATAATTAGTCATTTCCTGCTACAAATAGAAAATCTATAACAAATGTATTATACTCTGTATTCTTATTCTGAGAAGTGATGCATAAAATGGAATACATTACAGCTTAGTTTGCATCTTAATGGCCTAAAAACATGGAACATTTTTCCCCTCTAGTGTCTGTTAGTGGAAATGACAACAAGTTGAATGCATTTTTTAATTAAAAAGCTGTATTTTTTAACATGAACATGTTAAAGTCTATCCTAATGCATTATTTTGAAAATATTTTCTAATGAAGAATTAATATCAGACCCAATTCATACTGAAATTTTTACTACAGTTTTATTGTTGATGTCAATGAGTTTTTAATTCCTTTTTAAAGTAAGAGAGTGGGGAAAAGATGCATCTTCAGAAATTTCAGATTAGTTAAACTCACATCGTAGTACTGAGTTAAAAGCAACTATAGCAGATGTAGATTGGAACTTGCATTGATAATGTGGATCTTTAACTTTTGGAAAAGGTCTAAAACTTCAGATGTATCAATATAACCTTCACTACAAAGTAAGAGATTCTGGGAATAGCATCTGTTAACTTGCAGACTGAGCCTGGTCTGCCCCATCCAAGCTTGCTTCTAAGCTTTATATATTCAATAGGGTGAAGCCATAAATTGATCTTGGCACTTTCTAGAGCAGCCAAATTCAAGAAATGCAGAAGAGCAATTCAAGGTGGCTGCTATCTGTACCCATCACAGGCAACTCCTCTGGAGCCAACAGAGAGCAGCAGGCACGTGCTCTGGGGACTGAGAGCAAATGTTTTGCATGTGGCCTTTTCCTCTGTGGGGGTGCTTTGGGGAACAGACAGGACCATTAATTGCTAATTCCAGTGTCATTGCAGTGACCAGATTTTCTCACAGGCCTGAGAGTGGTAAATATTATGCAATCAGACTAAACAATGGAATGTTTCTAATTTTCTGCACTGAATGCATGTTCCTACAGCATCTACAATCTATTTTACAATGACATTAAAATAAAAGCCTTTGTGGGTACATGTGACTTATCTAGATTTTGCTAGTTTTTCTCAGCTCTTATTAGAGGAGTCTACATTTGGAAGTCTATCTATTTTCTCCAGGCATTATTTTAGTGAAAGTTATCCCTTTAGACAAAATTTAACTCAGATAACTAAATTTCCATAATAACTTTTAAAAATTGGTTAGAAATGGCAGATTTGAACATTGTTTCCCTTGGAGTTTGGATTTTTGGAGTTGGGTTTGGGGATTTTTTTCCTTTGTTTATTTCTGTGTTGTTTTATTATTTTTTCCCTAAAGGTTTGCTAAGTGTGAAGGAGAGCAAGCTAACTCCTGCACACCCAGATTCCACAGGCAAACAAATAAGCATGACAGTTTCAATTGTTTTATTTTCCAATCAAGGTTTTTTGGAAAAAAGAGGTAAAGAGAAGCAAGAAATTGTGTCTTTCTTTTCTTAGTCCCTCTGCACCAACTTGCATAAACATATGCATAAACATTGTTTTGGCTTCTTGTGTCTCCATAATGATGTTCCATACTGCTGTATATTTGAGAAAAATTAAACTTCATACCTTTCAATGAAACCACTTGTTGTTCCTTCTGTGTTATAATTAATAGGCCTCTCTCTTCCTCTCAGTGATTCAGATACACTATGTTTTATGTATGTTTTTAAGAATGAGTAGTTATCCCAGTAACCAGATTGAAACCCAGAGTTACTAGGGGAATGGAGCAAATAACAACCAGATGTTATTAATGAGAAAATGACTGCTCTCAGAATATTCATAATAGTTCTCCCTATTATCAACCTCTTGCATGGCACTCTTATGAAGATTTGAGACTTTGTGAAAAAACTTGATGGGGAATTCTGTCTCAGCTGACCAGCTTTCTTGAGGCATTTCCATTTATTTTATAGATGTCTCTGATACTCTGCTCCTAACTGAGGTACTCTAATTGCTACTTTACAGCAAATTTGGTTGGTACTTTAATCTGTAGAAATGTTGGTGTCTAGCTCTTTGACAAAATATATACCTCCTGTTCAGGAAATTGCCTAAGAATTTTTGGCCTAGAAAATATTCATGGAGGAGAAAGAACTCTTCCAATATGACAGTTTTATTTTGACACTCCTATGAAGGCAAAAAGAAAATATTACAAAATTTTATAGGAATTTTATTTATAAACTTAAATACAATACTGAAGACGATTATTGTTTAAAGTATTTGGCACTCCAATAGAAGAATGAAATCAAGTAGCTAATTTCATTTAAAGAAGATGCTGGTCACCTTCATGGGAACATTCTTACAAAAGTATGTCATGCTTAACAAAAATTAATAAATTGCAGTCCAAAAGAAGAAAGTTTCAATGTCCTGTAACAATCTCAGAAAGATATGCCTTAGGTACCTCAAGTAATAATGGAACTTCCAAATTGAAAGATACCAAAGCTTATTATTTTTAGTGTACTTAACTGAATATAAATTCCCTACAGGGAATAAAGAGTTCTAAACAGCTTCATGCAATAATATTGCATGATTTTTATTGTAGTATCTACCCACTTCCAGAATCATTGCTAACAAAACTTTATTTTCAAAATCTCAAGAAAAAAATTTTACCAAGTGTGGGTGAGCTGTAAAAATCTGACGTTTGTTGAACATAAATAGTGCCAAGGAAGGATAAGTCAAATATTTTGCCTAAAATGGCTCTTTAACAAAATTCCTCAGAGTTTTCTGTAGATGAATTAACAAAGAGTTGGTTGCAGAGGGAGTTCTCTGTAGATGGCATGCTAATGAATTCTGACAGGCTGAATGGTGCAAAGATAATGGGCTGAGCTGTCCACTGACTGTAAAGCAGAAGATGATTAAGGTTAAGACTTCAGGAAAATACCCCCCAAAAAATTGATCAAAAGGAACAATTTGACTTAGGGGTTGAACTGCAGGGGTCCAGTTTCTCTGCTAATGATTGATGTGTTAGTCAAATTCAAGCACCTGAAGTTTTACAGCAGTATCATGACTTGCTGCATAATTCATGATTGTTCTAATATTGCCATTCACTCTTCTTTTCCAAATATGAAGGGTCAACCAACATTTACTTCATTCATCTTAATACTGCCTTTGAAATAAATTCAGATTCAATTAGATATAGAGAGTTATTATTTCATAATTTGATGGAAAACTTTTTCAAAAGAGAATACCTGAAATTAGATTTCAGAAGATGAAAAAAGATTAAATACTATTAGAAATATCTACTGAGGAATTGCTACAGAGTTTTTCTTCCAGAAGAATTGTCATTAAAATCATGCCTGATAAAATGAGGACTTTATATAAGAAAGGTGGCAAGACATGTGAAAAGATTGGGAGACTTTTTTTCAAGCCTATAATCAGTAAAAAAATATGTAGTACTTGTTAGGCAGAAAATAAAGTTTTGCTTCTAGAGATATTAATTTATCTTATGCACAAACCAGATTAAATATCTCAGAAATTGCAACAGAATTGCACCATTTACCCTTTCTATCCTCAGCAGAATGAAAAGCAATAAAAAATATATTTTTCCCTTTTTTATGTAAATTGTTCAGATGCACACTGAATTGTTCTAGACAGTGATGTGTATCATCCAAGGTTGGGTCCTCTTATCATTACTCAAATATCATCAGACCGAGGTGCTTTTCTTGGACATGTTTACAAAGAATAAATAAATTCTACAAGACCAAACCAGGAAAAAGGAAACATAATCTGAAAGTGAATTTGGCAACATATCAAACTTACCAAGCTTTCATAATTAGGCTCTGAGTATTCTGAAAGAGTAATGGATCATTAACATCAGTAGGGGGCTTTCAGGGAAAAAGAAAAATCCCAAACAAAACTTCAGCAAAGAGATAAATATTATTTTCAACACACAAGTATGGAAACTTCATTGTTAAACCATACCTTGCTGCTTTCAAGCTACAGAAAAAAGCCTTATTTTTTAGTTAAAAAAATATTAAAAGTATTTTTCTCTTTTTCACAAAGTTATAATCTATCTTGAAGCAAAAAATCCTAATATAATTTAAAATTAAAGATTTTGCCTTCAAAAACTTTAAACATTTCAACATATGCAGCTATTTTTTGCCATAAACCTAAATAAGACGATTCACAGGACCCAAAGTAGATTTCTAACTGGTCAAAATCTTTTGAAAGTTTTCTTCATAAAGTCTTGGGTGAAGGATAAAGGTCAACTGAATATTTCTCATATTATTGGAATAATGATTATGTATTTTTAGTCTCCATAGGCTTCACAGACATGTGACAAAGACAGGCTTCTCACAAATTGATGGTGATACTTTTGAGTTTTCATCATCAATTCCACATGTCATTAGAAGCAGGAAGAGAAACAACTCTGAAGAGAATGAGAAAGTAGTTCCTGTACACATAGATATTAAGTAATTTTTTATTCCATAACCTTACAGAATAGAATTAAGCAGAAAGATTCTGAAATCCATTAATGAATTGGCTGAGGAGATCCTTTTTCAGGGTCATATGAGTAGAGCTGATCCTGTGTCAGGTAGGACACCTTGACATTTTACTACAGCTGTTTTCTCTTATGCCTATAGAATTTGACATACCCAGTATTTTGGGAGCTATTAATGCTGCTTTCTAAATTCCCCAAAGACTAAACAGTTGAAGAGACACAGAGTGGAACAAATAAAAATTTCCAGCTAGAAAGAAAAGTGTAATTATATATACATATATATATATATATATATATATATATATATATATATATATATTGTAAGTACCCAAACATTTTATATTTTAAGGTCATGTTTATACTTTGCATTCAGTATTCAAATGCCATTTTAATGTCATTGATCATTTTTTAGTCACTACTATTTGCCAGGCAGAAATCAGACAGCAATCACTGTGGCTATATAATTTCTAAACTGTTGAAAATATTGCTGTGAGACGTTTTTCCATCCTGGATAACTACAATGCAGATGGAGTCTAAAGAGACTTTCTGCTTCATGCAGTTGTTAATGATATTATTCACAAAGCATATACACCAGGCAGATTTGGCTTGGCAGTCTCTGAGGTAGCAACCTCATCTCATTTCTAAAGAGAAATTATGTTCCCTTATGACAGTCACGCTCTTCAAAATTTTGGGAGTTAAAAAAAACCTGCAAAAAGTGCCATTTAAAGTTTGTGATTAGGGGAAGGAATCACTAACACAAAACAGTCAGCATTTTCTTGCTGGAAATGGTCAAATTTGTCATTTTCAAACCATCCATTTACCTTCAGAAACCAGAAAAACCCTGGCTGCTTCATAACATTCATAAGAGCTTTCATTTGAAATATATTGAAAGATGGGGTAAAATGTAGAACCACCTGGGAATTCATATACATGCTAGAAAATTTAGCTGAAATTTCTTTCTGAATTTTAGACTGCAATTGATGTGCACAGCTTTGGCCTAACGGTACGTAAAAAACATCACAAACTTTATTTTGATGAAAAGCAGCTGCCTTTATTAATATGACTTTTGTGACAATTCAAGCAGCTAAGGATAAGCCAAAGGGGAATGCAGTGTGCTGGAATAAATTTTGATTTTAGATAGATCCATGTATTTGAGCGACTGGAGCATGGGTACAGGAGGTATGTAGACCCAGTGACATAAGAAATCTTTCAGTTACTATTGCTAGGAAACATGTCTTAGGAACTTCATTTTGAAGACTTTGTTTACCGCAAGAAGAGTTGAGTCATTTCAGCAGAAAGTGCCTTGAGTATCTGGATAGAAAACAAAATATTTTTGCCTCTTCTTCTCAAGTATAACTGGCACTGAAACTATTTTTCTCCCTGTATGTTTAATACATCAATCATGATCTGCTTTTGTGGAGGTGTTGCAATAGGATGAAGACAGAACTATTTGAAGTAACTGAAGTATTCCTGGGACTTGTTACAAATTTAGTGTCAGCACTGTTTGTTTACATTTTAATCTTAAATTCAATTTAGACAAGAAAAAAAAAAAAAAGAAAAACAACAACAAAAAAATCTTCATAATGGCTTTCATTTCCAGACACTTCAGTAGTGACATGCATAGCTAAGCACTGCAAAAGCATTTCAACATATGTTAGCTTCAGGG